TCTATTTTCTTCTAAAACTCCTTAGATTCTACATATTGATTTTTTAACTCACCTGAGTATTTCTTGTATAATGTGTGAAATGGATCTCTATATTTGTTTTATTGCAAGTAATAGTGGTCCATGTACCTTATATGTTGAATAAGCCTATTTTCCCCATTGAATTGAAATATCAACTTAACCATATATTGTTAGACAGATATATACATTTGTCTCTAGAATGCTCATTATATTTCATTGATCTACTTAATTATTTCTGTGCCAGTGTCATGTTGGTTTAATTGCTGAGACTTTATAATGGTTTTAATTTTTTTAATATTTTATAATTAATTTTGACATTTAAAAATAAATAAAATCAATCTGCATTTAAGAAAGAAAGAGAGAGAAATGGAACTCCTACCTTTTGTGACAACATGGGTAGTAATGGAGAATATTAAGCTAAGTAAAATAAGCCAGTTGATGAAAGACAATTACTGTATGCTCTCACCTATAAGTGGACTCTATTCAACAAAACAAACTAATGAACAAAATAAACCACAGGCACGGGAACATGGAGCAGATTGAAAGTGACCAGAGGGGATGGGGAAAGAGGACAATGGTGGAAAGAAGGGGAAAGGACTAGACAAAGATCATGTATCAATGACCCATGGACATGTACAACAGAGTGGGAATTGACTGTGGGAGTGAGGGGTGGGGGTGAGATGGGTGGAGAGGGGTAAAGGGGTAAAAATTAAAACAAGTGTAATAGAATAAACATGATTTATAAATTTAAAAAATAAAAATAAAAAAGAAGAAAATTAGACCCTATAAATTCCAACACACCCCCAAAAGAAAACCTCAGTTAAAAAATGGACAAGGATCTGAATAGACACTTTTCCAATAAGGACATATTGATGACCAATAGACATATGAAAATATTCTCGACATCATTAACCATCAGAGAAATGCACATTAAAACCACAATGAAATACCATCTCACACCTGTCAGAATTGCTATGATCAATAAATCAATAAGAATAAGTGCTGGCAAGGATGTGGAGATCAGGGAACCCTTTTGCACTGTTAGTCGGAATGCAGATTAGTGCAGCCACTCTGGAAAGCAGCATGTAGATACTTCAAAAAATAAATAAATGGATCTGTCTTTTGACCCAGTGATTCCATTTCTGGGAATATATCCAAAGGAACCCAAAACACTAATTCAAAAGAATATAATCACCACTATCTTCATTGGAGCATTACTTGCAATCACCAAGATATGGGAGCAGCCTAAGTGTTCTTCCGTAGATAAGTGGATAAAACAACTGTGGGACACTTACACAATGGAATACTACTCAGCCATAAAAAAAGAAAATTTTGTCTTTTTCAAGAGGATGGACATGGAGAACATTATGCTAAGTGAAATAAGCCAGTCAGAGGAAGACAAATACCATATAATTTCACTCATATGCATAATCTAATGAACAAAATGAACTAACAAACAAAAAAGAGACAAACTTAGAGAGCAGGATGACAGCTAACTGGGGTGGAGTAGGTTAGGGGGTGAAGCGATTGAGCAAAAAGGAAAAAGGACTCATGGACATGGAAAAAAGTGTGGTTATTCCAGGAGGTGGGTGGTAGTGTGTGGATTTAATGGGACTAAATGGTAATGGGGAAAAATACAATTAAAAAATAAAATAAGAAGGGAAGAAATAGTTTTCTTGAGAAAGGGGGAGGGGGAGCAAAAGATAGCAAAGAAAAGGGGAGTGGATAGAGGCGAGAGTGTAGAAACCAGAATATTCCACAGGGTTATCCACCCACTCGTTGTCATTTGCTTGAAGATGTCTGTCTCCCAAGATGGCCAGTTCTAGTCCTGTCTCACCTTAAAGAGGCTCAGTTCTGGTCATTTCTGCTGAAGAGTTCAGTAAGGAGTGGCTGCTGCCATCTACTGGAATTTGCTTTGTTTAGTAATATGCAGTGTTACCATTTGGCCCAAAACCGGGAGAACAGGGCCAGGAAATGTGTTCCCTAGAACCCAAGATAGCACTCAGGAAGAGTTTGGTTTGCAGAGCCCCTTCTCAGAAGTCTGATCTTAAGTCACCCCAGAGGAGGCTTGAAAAAAGTGCAGCACAGAAATGAGCCTGGGATAAGAAGCTGGAGGAGAAGGCTCATAACCTATGAAGTGAATGCTCCCCTCTGGTGGTCACTGTTGTCACGTGGATTCTCTGCAAACTCCTAAATTCAGCAGGGTTTACAGAGCAAGGAGACTTCAGGCCCTGGAATGGTCCTTATCATTGTGGTTGATGTGCCAGATTCAATGATTTTTTTCTTGGTGTCTTCATCTTCATATTTGGTATCTCAGTGTATCAATTGTTTCTTCATTGTAGATTGGGGCTTGTCCTTTATGTGAGCATCTTTCTTTTGTTCCCCCCCTCCAGAGGTCCTCCACTTCCCAGAGCCCTAAAGACTGACCTTCCTGCACTGTGGCACAATCCCCTCATTCCTCTCAGATATCATCCAGGCCATGTGGTGCAAGATGGACATTACCATAACAAGGCTTTTTTTTTTTTTTTAATGAACAATGCTAATGTTTTTATCTTCAGGTAAGATTGTCAAAGAAAAAAATCTAGCATCATTCCTAATAGAAAGACATTGCAATACTGTCAAAAATGAAGGCTGTCATCAAAATGCAGGGGTGTCTGCCTTCAATTTAATTAATAAAAATTATCCCCTTAGGCTGAAAACATGTGTTGGTGTCTGACATCCACAGACCTACTCCCATGTTTTCCCCAGGATCTGAGAACAGCTCTCTATTCCTCCCCCAGCCCAAGGCAGGGTCTTGACAGTCTGTGCATCTTCACCTCTTCTCCAGTAACTGTCACTTCCATTTGCTCAAGCCTGGGCTTCAGCCTTTGTTCTTTCCTCTCCTCTGAATCATACCCACACCCTCAGCAAGTCCACTTCTCACATACATCTTGAGTCTCTCTTCTTGCTTCATCTCTGTGCCACTACAGCAGTGTAGGTCACTGTCCTCTCTTCCCTCAGCCACTGCAATATCTTCTTGACTGTTCTCCATGTTTTCATTCTTTCTGACTTAAAACCCATTCCAGCCAATGTGGCCATGCTCATCTTTCAATAATAGAGGGCCTTGCACAAATACTGCCTATTTTTTATTACAAAATCATACGTATGTAAATCTGTAACATAACGATATCACACTTAAGCACACCATATGACATTTTAGGTGAAATTTTCAAATTAAAACTATACATTATTACCCTACCAACCACACTCAAGCAGGCTACTTACTTCTGCTGGACTCTGTATATAAGTTGTCATGCTGTGTTCCTATAAAGCCTTTCAAAGTTTTCTCATTACATTTTCAATAAAATACAAATTCATTATGAGGGTATATAAAGTCTGTCATAAACTGATGTTCTTTTATCCATCAAATCCAATTTCCTTTACCTCAACCCTGCCAGTACCTGGCACTTCATTTAAGAGCTTAAATTGTTAAGAACTTTTGTGCCTTATGGTCATCTCAATGGTTCTTCTAAGGAACATTCATCCTTGGTTTCTGCAGCTTGCTGCTTCTCTCCCTTCAGATTTTAGCTCAGATATAATCTCCTCTAAATTATATTTCCTAATTATTCTTTCTAGGTAGGTAGGCTGTTATTTGGGTGTAAGCTCCTTGAAGCCAATACTGTACTTGTTCTTCATAATGTGTCTTATATGGGCTTGTCAGAGATATTCCAGTATGCATAAGATGTTCTGGGGTGGATGTCTTACTGTCAGTATTATTAGGTCATAATGATTTTAAGACAGTTTGTTAAGATGGATATTTTCAATGGCTGGAGCCTAGATTACCTTTAGAACTTTTGGGAAAATAACAAACATTTGGGAAAAAGTATCACAATGCAATCAGGGAGGGATGAACAAATGGTTGCAGACAGGGTGATACATAACCCAGGGTATCCCAGAGGTGGGGTCCTGGGACCATCTAGCACAACATTCACTGCCAACACTTGGTGCCCTCTCTCAAGTGTTTCTGTGTGCAAGCAGATTTCAGAGGACCTCACAAACATCATCATTTTCTCTTCATGACTTCCCTAATAGATGTGTACCTTTGCCAATGAGACAGTGATCCCTGGGTGGGACAGGGTGAGTTAGGTAAATGAAGTCAAATATATGGTACTAGAAGAAATCTGGATTCAGGATAATAAGCATGCAGTACAATATACAGATATCAAATTATAATGTTCACCTATTTACATTTTATTAAACAATGTTACCACTATAAATTGAATTTAAAAAATCATCCCTGACATAGACTAGGCACACCATTAACTTTTTTGACTGACTGAATTGAAGTAGCTGTTTTCCTTCCTTAAATGTGACTTCACAGGACAGTTCCAAGATCCCAGGCAAAGCATGGCAGTGATTAGATCATGCATATGAGTTCTGACGGTGCTGTATTCCAATTCTTCCATAACACTTATTACATGTTCCTCACCTGAAAATGTAGAAAATACATTTCATAAAGAGTTTGAAAAGGTAATTCATTCAAAAAATTTTCCACTTGTCCCTGCGAGTGAATCCGGGCTATAGCAATCAGCAAGCAGACAGGTGCCAGAGTCAGAGCAAATGTAGCACACAGAGGAGCAAAGAGGATCAGTGATGAACAATCATTCCCTCTTTCCTGGCCTGGATCTCGTGAGAAAAAAAGGTGCATTGTGGTGGAATGTGTCCATTGGTAGAAATCACCTGGCAGAAAGTGAGTGCTTTTAAAAAAAAAAATATGAGGGGGCGGGGAAAAGGAAGGGAAGGGGAAAGTCAAGGAACATATAGCAAGGACTCATGGACAAAACCAAAGGGGAAGAGCTGAGGGAGGGAAGGAGGGAGGGGGCAAGGGAAAATGGTGGGGGGTAGGCAGAGACAAATGTATTTGAAAAAATAAAATTAAATTTAAAAAAAAATTAAAATAAATAAATAAAACATACGGAATTAAAAAATTAAAAAAATAAAAAAAACATATGGAATGCTTCACGAATTTGTGTATCATCCTTATGCAGAAGCCATGTCAATTTTCTCTCAATCATTTCAATTTTAGTATATGTGCTTCTGAAGTGAGCATGTGAGTGTACCTTTGATATGATGCTGCCCTAAAGAAAAGCCACCATACTGCCAAGCACCTGGTAACCACAAAAATCATGGTGCTAATCTAGGGACCTGGTAAAAAGCACAAGATGGTCAGGGGGAATGCAGGGGTTACTGAATGAGGGTAAGCCAGGCTCATTGTTAGGAGACAAGTAAGAGTCAACTCAGTCTCCTGTGGAAGGATTGGAGCCTGTCACTTGTCCAGATGCATACACACGCTATCTTTAAGTGTATTCAAAGGAAACATGCTTTACTGATATTTTTCAACATTGAATATCTTAAAAATAACCAAACACTTTATGTTCATTGCAGGATGAGAAATATCTAAAACAACATTTTGCAAAGAGTTGCATGCTGCAGAAATGTGGCTTGATGGATTAATATATGCTCCTAATTAAAATTTTAAAAATTCCTTGATCAAATTAATTGAAAACATTTTGTATACAAAAACCTCTTTTGAGAGATACCAATTCACATTAAAACACTCATTAAAACACTGAAAATATATGCAATAAATAATCTGGTTATTTGTCTTGAAACTTTCATTGATGATTTTAATTCTCATACTTTTTTACAGGGAGAATAGGGCAATGGCTAACACTTATCAGCAAGCTGTAGAGATAGTGTCCTGTGAAAATATATTATAAAACACTAACCTAAAATAAAGTTCTACTTTCTGTGAATTTTAGTTTTGAGAAACTATATTGATGATAATGAGATCCAGGTTTATAGCGGTCACATAAATGAGTCACAGGTATAAAAAAAGGACTAGAATGAGTCTTATTGTGTTGAAATCGGTGTCAATATGAACTCATGGTTTTTAATACATAGACATATAATATAAAAATGATGTCAATATGTATGTTAATGTGTGTATTTCTTTGCTCTGTCCATGGAGAGGGTCTAGAACAAGATTCCTCAATCACAGTACAATTGATATTTTGGACCTAATAGTTGTTTTTTGTGGGGGCTATCCTATGCATTGCAGAATGATTAGCAGCATCACTAACCCTCTAGATGCCACTAGCACCATGTCCCCTGCAACTTGGAACAGCCAGAACTGTCTAGAGACAAAAATAAATGTCCACTGGGAGGCAAAAATGACCCAGTTTGAGAACTGCTATCTTAGATACAATGGCATCCCAGTATTATGAGCAAACTTAGCATTCATGTATTAGTTCCTATATGCCATTTACCATGAATTCCAAACAACGAATATGAAATAAGAACCTAGAATTTATGTTTTATGGGCACATGTCAATAGGACATAAGAAGCAGCTTCAAGGAGTTTCCATCAGCCAAATCTGAGATAACATATATTAGAATAAACAGTAATAAAGGATTGTAACTCAAGAAATAAAATAAGAAACTGTGTGTCAGATAGATATAGAAAGTGAAGGGGAGCAAAGAGAGAGAGAAAGAGAATGGCTATAATATCATTTTTCTGAAAATTACAAGAAATTTCAGAGGGTCCTGAATCAGCAGTCAATGGTGGAAAAAATGAGGAAATAAACAGATGTCTTTTATACCTATAACGGGAATTGTTAAAAAGAAAACCACAGTGTAAAGAATGCAAGTGAAACCAAATCAAATTGACTTAAGAGCAATAATGTTCATTTTTTTTTCCTTTTATTTATTTTTATTTTTTTTAAATGCATTTGTCTCTGCCTCCCCCCCCCCTCTTTCCCTTGCCCCCTCCCTCCTTCCCTCCCTCAGCTCTTCCCCTTTGGTTTGTCCATGAGACCTTGCTATATGTTCCTTCATTTTTCCCTTCCCTTCCCTTTCCCTGCCCCTCCCCCTTCCCTCTTGTCTCTGTTGATTTCTTTTCCTTTCAGTGTTGCTGGTCATATTTTCCTTCCATCTTTGCATTGTTGGTTAGGTTCCGATTATAGATGAGATGATATGGTATTTGTCTTTTGCCCCCTGGCTTATTTCGCTCAGCATGATGCTCTCCACTTCCATCCATGCTGTCGCGAAGTTTAGTAGTTCTTTTTTTCTTTCTGCTGCATAGTATTCCATTATGTATATGTACCATCACTTTTTGATCCAGTCATCTATTGATGGGCATTTAGGTTGCTTCCAACACTTGGCTATTGTAAATTGTGCTGCTATGAACATTGGGGTGCATAGGTTATTTTGAATTGGCATTTTGGTGTTCTCAAGGTATAGTTCCAGCAGAGGAATCGCTGGATCAAAAGGCAGTTCCATTTTCAGCTTTCTGAGGAAATTCCACACTGCTTTCCATAGTGGCTGCACCAGTCTGCATTCTCACCAACAGTGGACTAAGGTTCCCTTTTCTCCACAGCCTCGCCAGCACCTGTTGTTTGTGGATCTGTTTATGATGGCCATTCTGACTGGTGTGAGGTGGTACCTCATGGTGGTTTTGAGCTGCATTTCTCTGACGGCTAGAGATGCTGAGCATCCTTTCAAATGCCCTCTTTATCTCCTTCTTAGAAAAGCATCTGCCCAAGTCCTTTGCCGATTTTTTGATTGGATCATTTGTCTTCTTGGAGTGGAGTCTAGTGAGTTCTTTACATATCTTGGAGATCAAACCTCTATCTGATGTATCATTAGCAAATATATTTTCCCATACGGTTGGCTCCCTTTTCATTTTGCTGATGTTTTCTTTAGCCGTGCAGAAGCTTCTTATTTTGATGAGGTCCCACTTGTTTATTCTTTCCTTTATGCTCCTTGCTTTAGGAGACATATCAGTGAAAAAACTGCTGCGTGGGATATCTGAGAGTTTCCTGCCAATGTTCTCCTCTAGGACTTTGATGGTGTTGCGACTTATAGTTAAGTCTTTTATCCATCTTGAGTTTATTTTTGTGTATGGTGTCAGCTGATGATCCAATTTCAATTTTTTGCATGTAGCCATCCAGCTCTCCCAACACCATTTGTTGAAGAGGCTGTTATTGCTCCATTTTATGCTTCTGCCCCCTTTGTCAAATATTAGATGTCCATAGAGACCTGGGCTTATTTCTGGGGTTTCTATTCTGTTCCACTGGTCTATGGGTCTGTTCTTTTGCCAGTACCAGATTGTTTTGAGTATGGTGGCTTTGTAGTAGAGTTTGATGTCCGGTATTGTGATCCCTCCTACTTTGTGTTTCTTTCTCAAAATTGCTGCAGCTATTCGGGGTCGTTTATGGTTCCATATAAATTTTTGGAATGTCTGTTCTATTTCTGTGAAATACGTCATTGGTATCTTAATAGGGATTGCGTTGAATCTATAAATTGCTTTGGGTAGTATGGACATTTTGATGATATTAATTCTTCCAATCCATGAGCACGGTATATGCTTCCAATTATTTGTGTTTTCCTTAATTTCTTTTTTCAATGTTGTATAGTTTTCTGCATACAGCTCTTTTGTGTCTTTGGTTAAATTTATCCCTAGGCACTTTATCTTTTTTCTTGCTATATCGAATGGTATATTTTTTCTGATTTTTTCTTCTTCTATTGCATTGCTGGTGTACAAAAATGCCTTTGATTTCTGAATGTTGACTTTGTAGCCTGCTGTTTTGCCAAATTCACTTATTAGGTTCAGGAGTTTTTTGGTAGAGTCTACAGGGTTCTCTATGTACACTATCATGTCATCTGCAAACAATGATAGCTGTACTTCCTCCTTTCCTACTTGGATGCCTTTTATCTCTTTCTCTTGTCTGACCGCTGTGGCTAGGACTTCCAATAATGTTGAGAAGAAGCAGTGAGAGTGGACATCCTTGTCGTGTTCCCGATCTTAGTGGGAAAGCTTTCAGATTTTGCCCGTTGAGTATGATATTGGCCGTAGGTTTTTCATATATGGCCTTTATTACGTTCAGGAATGCCCCATTTATTCCCATTTTGCTGAGTGTTTTGATCATAAATGGGTGCTGTACCTTGTCAAATGCTTTTTCTGCATCTATCGAGATGATCATGTGGTGTTTGTCTTTTCTTTGATTTATGTGATGTATCACGTTTACTGATTTGCGTATATTGAACCATCCCTGCCTCCCTGGGATGAATCCCACTTGATCGTGGTGGATAATCTTTTGAATGTATTGCTGGATGTGGTTTGCCAATATTTTGTTGAGGATTTTAGCATCTATGTTCATCAGCAAAATTGGCCTGTAGTTTTCTTTCTTTGTAGGGTCTTTATCTGGTTTTGGGATCAGGGTGATGCTGGCCTCATAGACGGAGTCTGGGAGTCTTCCCTCCTCTTGGATTTTTTGGATAGTCAGAGAAGGACAGGGGTTAGCTCTTCCTTAAATGTTTTGTAAAATTATCCTGGGAAAACATCTGGCCCTGGGCTTTTGTGTGCTGGGAGTTTCTTGATTACTGCTTCAATTTCCCCAGCTGTTATCGGTCTGTTCAAGCTTTCTGTTTCTTCCTCCTTCAGTGTTGGAAGATTATACTTTTCTAAAAATTTGTCCCTTTCATCAAGATTTTCAAATTTCTTGGCATATAATTGTTCATAATAGTTCCTGATGATCATTTGTATTTCTGTGGTATCAGTTGTTATTTCTCCTCTTTAATTTCTGATATTATTAATTTGGGTCCTCTCCCTTTTATTCTTGATGAGTCTGCTTAATGGCTTGTTAATTTTATTAATCTTTTCAAAGAACCAGCTTCTGGATTGGTTGATCCTCTGAATTGTTCTTTTTGTCTCTATGTCATTCAGTTCTGCTCTCATCTTGACTATTTCCTTCCTTCTACTTGCTCTGGAATGTATTTGTTGTTGTTTCTCCAGTTCTTGAAGTTGTAGAGTTAGGTCTTTTATTTGAAATGTTTCTATCTTTTTTAGGTAAGCCTGTATTGCTATGAACTTCCCTCTCATGACCGCCTTCGCTGTGTCCCATAGGTTTTGGACAGTTGTCTGTTCATTTTCATTGGTTTCCAGAAATTTTTTGATTTCTTCTCTTATCTCATTATTGACCCACTCATTGTTTAATAGTGTACTGTTCAGTCTCCATGAGATTGCAAGTTTTTGAAGTTTCTCTTGGA